AAATTGCAGAAGTGTAGCATAAGAAATCAGCATGTATCAGTTTTCTATTTTTAAATTTCTTTCTTTTGCCCTCCACATTTCTTTATCATTTCCCCTTTGTATGACAAAAAAGTCAAAATAAATACATTTTTAGAACCACATCTCTTTAGGCAGAAAAAAAAATTGAACTTTTTATACAAATGGGATGAGTCTCTCACATAGGTGACCCGAATCATTCCAATTTACAAATACGTGTTGCTGCTATAGATAAGGCCTAATTTAACGTTTTCATGATTTCTTTTAAAATTGAGAGTATTTTGTGCTTTACTTAACAAGTTTCCCCAGTAAAACGGTTGTGAAAGAAAGAAACGAAAAAGGCTATTAAGGAAGCCACGAAATTCTTTAAAGAACTCCCAGCCTATCAGTCTGACGTTTCGTATTAGTTTCCCAAAAGTTCAGTAAACATGTCTCTGCATGTTTCAGCTCCTGTGCTCAAAACCGGGGCAAGTCAGCCCTTTAGGGTGGGTTCAGGGAGATACTGGCCCCAGGGACGGCTCACACAGGCCGGCCGTACTTCCAGCCTGTTTGTAAGATTTAAAAAAGTAAGTACTTGACTTTATCAGGATGAGAGATCACAAGTCTCTTCAAAGCATTTTCCCTGCAGACTGCTTCTAGGGGGAGCGGGGCTGCCCTCCCTCCATGCCAGGTGCTCAGAAAGACGAGGTTGCACGCTGACTGTGAGGACTCTGGCCCCAGCACCTCAGGGGCTCGTTGGCTCCCTAGGTGGACGGAGAGATTGACCACCTCCTGTCCTGGCCCACATTATGCCAGCAGCATGCCCTGTCCCCTGAGAGTAGAGCGAGGTATCCCCGCAGCTGCCCTGGACGCCCTCCCGAGGAGTCAGCAGACTCACTGTCCCTGGGCCGATGCAATGGGGCGCACCTGTCTCAGCCTCCCTGCCCACGTCTGCAGTAACTCGGACTCACCACGAGCATTCCCTGAAGGAGAAGGCTCTCCTCTCGCGAAGAGTCATGTTTTAAACATCTTACTTAAAATAACTCTGAACCAAATCCTCATATTTATTTTCAAGAAAGAGAGGGTGTAGAATATGGAGGAAGCCCTTTAAAGATATTCTCATGAGTAATTAGGCGATAACGCAACCTCTGTGAGTAGGTTCAAGTGTCTCCGTCCCTACCGCCCCGTCTCAGGGCAGCGGTTTTGTAGATGGAGAAGAGCTACCGTAATGGGCTCTATGTCTTGAGAAGCAAAGTGTGGCCACGTTTTGTGAGGTATGCCGTGCGAGGCACAGGAAGCGTGCGATGCCTGTTGTCACGCACAGACAGCAAGCCCGCATTGGAGGGCACGTCCCCCGTCCCCTGGAGGTGTGAGCCACAGTGAGTCTCTGGGGGCAGACAGCTAAGAAAAGTCATGAGCACAGAGGACCTTCCCTGTGCAGAGGCACAGGCTCAGAGCTCGCTCTGATGTCTTAGATCTACAAAAGCCACGGACACCAAGCCTGAGAAAGGCTACTTCCACGAAATTAGAAATCCAGAAGCTTGTGAGTGGTCCAGATTTTTCCTTTTTTTAGATTTTACCTGGATTCCGCAAAACGTAAACACAGTTTAAAACGTTTTATTAAGATTTTTCCACTGACATTCTTGAATGTCTATGTAAGACCAGTTTTCCAACCAGAAAAGGTCAGGTCCTAACCGAAATCACCTTCCCTCGATACTACTTGAATCCCAAGGCAAATGCAGGGTCACAGCCCAGGCACGGGACCGGGACTGTTTCTGTCTGGAGAGTGTCCCTGAGGCGCAAGTGTGGATTCTAAGGTTACGTATTCATCACCTTCTCAAGAGTGTTTTTACCAACAGCACCTTGGAGTGGCAGGGAAAAAAGACATGAAGCAAGTGTTTTATTTAGCCCAACTCTACAACTCCAACTACAGGAACTTAGACTAGACCTGGCGTGATTGTCGGTGCCAACTGGCAGGAGCGAGGAGGACCCCCGGCTGGGGTGGTGGGTCTCCCCGAGGCCTGAGCACGTGAGCGCTGGGCACCGGTGCCTGCCTTGTCGGGAGTTTCCATGGAAACCAGTCAATCTCTGCTGTCATGTCTAAGCCCAGACTGCAGCACACGCTGTTGTCTGATTTTATCCACGGGGGACTTGGATGATCCCACACGGGCCTCCCTTCGTGGCAAAGACGTGCTCTTAGATGGATGGATGCAAATCGGATTTTTGTGCATCGGTTTTACACCGGCCTGTTGTCAAGGGTCCTGGAGCGGCTCTGCCTGGGAAGCTAAGACCCTTTTGTTGGATGAATCACTTCTTCACTCACTGACTTCAGAAAACTGTACTTTTGAATGTTGAGGTTTATTAAAGTGAGGGAATTTGTATGTAAAGCTACAGGTTTTTAAAAGCCTTGAAGTCTTCACCAGTGACATAAAACTGAGCACTTAGAGCTGGTGGGAGGGAGCATCCCTGAGGAACCATCCTGGGCCACCTTGTGTGGTCCAGACGTGCCACCTAAAGATGAGAACGCCAGGTCACTGCCCCTGAGAGAACCGGAGCTGGCAATGCCAGGGTGGGTGCTGGGCCTGCCTTCTCAGCCCGGGGGGAGCCCTGAGAGCTGGCCGGGCACTGGGTCAGCAGGTACGGGCAAGGGACAGGGCAGAGGGGAGGCCCCGCCTGTCTTTCCTGCAGCCCGTCCCCTTCCCCAGGGGAGGGTTCAATTGCCCCACATTCACGCGGCCAGCAGGTGGCAGACCGGGCATCCGACCCCAGCTGCCTAACTCCAAACCCTCAAAATAAAAACCCACCTTTGAAGAAAGCAGGGCCTCCTTCTGGGAATGTTTTTGTTTTCCGACACAGTGAGAGCTCTGAAAAGGAACCAAATCAGTATTTTCTGTTTTCATGATGACGAAGAACATTTTAAATGACTCTTTTTTAATCAGATGATGTATTTGTAAATGGCGTAGACACCCAAAAAATGCCCCCAAAATCCTTTTCTCTTTTTTTTGTGATTAGTAAAATCTGGTTTTCATTTGCATGATTGAGGTGTAATGCCTCACTTTAAATCTGAACAGAACGTGACAACCTCCTCCCGCCCCCACTAAAAAAAATAAAAGATACAGAAGAATTTCTACTCTTGCCTAACGGAATACATTTTAAATAAATTTGCACTAGGCACTTAAATTAGGAAGAGTTTAAGGATTTTTTTTTTTTTGAGCAAAAAGCAAGGCCAAATGTGTATTATTGGCTGGTAGGAACCATTTCTGTTCCTTGATACATTTTCAAAACAGAAATGTGCGTGGAGATGAGCTGCTCTTAGAATGACTTCTATTGCTTTCAAAGTCTCCCCGCATGAGGGCTCTGGGGTCGGGTCAGCCCCACCTGAGGTCCCACTGGGAAACCAGCCAGTTGAGTTACTAACGCAGGAATCGTCTTGTGATCAGACTCCAGGTTTCTTAGAGCGGCCACTTTCATGACAGGTCAGCAGCTGGGCCAGGCTGTCGTTTTTGGTTCGGGGACACTGCTACACTCGTTCTGCCTCAGACTCCTGCTTTTGAACCCCAATTCCGCCTCCACACACCAAGGGCCGCTCTCCTTCTTTTCCCTCAGTGTCTTTTTCATTGCCCCCAACACAGGCTCTAAATTAGACATCCCTCCTTCCTGTGGCGTGCCCAGTGTCCACGCTGCCCCCGAGCCCTGTGGCCCCTCTCCTCTTCCCGGGACTGAAGGAGAATTAGGCAAGTTCTAGATACCAGCGGCTGGCTCCACATCCAGGTGTCAAGAAACGGCATCTGTACACTCGAACTTAGCCCCGGTTCACGAGTGCCCATCTCATCCCGGACCCGCCCCTCCGGTCCTGAGAACGTCTGTCTGCAAGCGAGGAATTTGCTGACCTTGACCCAGCAGCTAACACCCCGGGGGCTTTCCGAGTGGAATGCGAGTTGAAATCTCTCAGAAGCATTAACATTTATTAAACACTTTAAATCTGTGATTTTTGTCCTTGCCAGGAACTGAGGTGCCCACTGAGTAAGGACGGGGGCACAGGGCATGGTCTGAGCGTAACTGCTGGTAGTAATATTGTTACTAACTCATTTTATCCTTGTTTCTGGCATGTTAAAATTTAATGAAAAATTTTTTCTTAATTTTTGTCCTTGATTTGTACATTCCTGGCGGGTACAAATGCAGCAGAAGTGGCTCAGAGTGAAAATGTGTCAGTGGTGCTGATGGCTCCTGAGCTGGCAGACGGAGGGAGTTACGTGGGGGCCGTGACTGTCAAACCCTTCCAAACACACTTCCTCCCGGTAGCAAACGGCGACGTGGTAGTTAAGAAACGATGAAGTCGCCTGGTGAGGTTTAAGCCCAGGCTGTCGGCACCGTGAGCTAAGCTGTCCCGGCTGACCTGGCCTAACTGACCGAGGGTGATCCGTGCGCTGCTCGAGGTGGCTAAATGGACCAGGGTTTTAAGGGAAATCAAACCTGCCTGAGTGCCGCAGGAGGGCCCGGAAGCCAGTTGATCTGATCCGCAGGGGCAGGCCCAGGCGGTGCCCACCCTGGTCTCGGGGGTCAGCAGGCACAGGACGGGGAGGGGTCCGGGTGACGGGGCCCGCAGTCACGCCGGGGCTTCACGTTTAGACGAAGACCAGTCTCAGGCCACCATGTGCATCTCTTCCTGCCAAAATCTCGCATCGGGTGTGGGTCTGTAAAACTCGCCCTTAAAGCGATGAGATGGGCGGGGGACGTGGGATGCTGGGGGCACAGAGACCTGGGAGAGTAGCCCAGGCACCGAGGCTGTGGCAAGGCTGATGGCCAGAGGTCCCTTGTCCCCCGACCGTGCAGTGGGCGGGAGAGGAGGAGGGGGACACACCGCCACCTGCCGGGTGAGCAGCCCGACCTGCCTCCTTCCCCAGGGGCGCCCCGTGTTAAAGGGTGTGTCTGAGCAAATAGGAAAGCTCACCGTTTGGGGGTTTTCTTTCTTTCCAGTAAATGCCAATCTGCACTTGTGATTGCAGGTGCCCCACCCCTGGCTGCGACGGCTCCGGGCACATCACCGGCAACTATGCGTCCCATCGGAGGTACGTGCAGCTCCCGAGACCCTCCCCTCCTCCGCCCCCGCGCGCGGGACCGCGGGCCGGCTTCCGCACTGGGCCGAGCCGCCGCCACTGGTAACGTGAGGGCCAGGCGCCCTGGGCACAGAGCACTGTCCCTGCCATGGGCCTCGCCCAGAGCTCGAGCTCAGAACCGCAGACCCCTCCGAGGCTCCCGCCCTAGTGCCCCGGCTCCTTCTGCAGGAAACGTTTCTCCGTCACCTGGTAACACATCTTTCTCAATTGGAAAGGGGCAGGAAAAAGACGCGGGACAGCCTAAGGTCCCTGAGGACAGCCATCAAGCGGCAAGCGTCCTAATCCCACGGGGAGCTGATCTCTTAAACATTGAAATTTGAGCCCCAAGCTTGTACGGTTCTCACACACAGAGACCAGCAGAGCCTGGCACAAGGTGCCTGGCCTCGCGATCCCCAGGCCCCGCCCGCCCCTCCGCGCGCGTTCCTAGAGCACAGCATGGAGAGGCAGCCGCATGAGAACTCAAGAAGTCTACGCCGCTGCCACTCGCTCGACATTTTCTGAGCATCTGCGTTGCACCGGGCCCTAAGCTAGAGGTGAACTGAAAGAATCGTTTGGCACAATGTCTACGCAAGGCGGGTCTAGACCCTGTGGCCTGGAGCGAGAACTCCTTGTCGTGCTTGGTCGGGAACCACAAGCCCAGGTAAGGACGAGCGCCCGGATGAACCGAGATGCCCTGGAGGTGACGTCGTCAGCGGTGGAAAGCAGTGCAGCGTCGAACAAAGAAATAAACCGCCTTACGGGGTAGCCGTCGCCTCCCTGCTAAGATCAGATTATAGCATGGGCAGTCGGGGCAGGATGAGCACCTCTGCTCTAAATGCTTCCTCACCAAGGGGAGGGGAGAGGAGGGGAAGAAGGAGGAGAGAGGGGAGTCAGGACAACGGGGGGGGGATCAGCCCCACAGGCTGACCCCTCCCCCCAGCAGGGGGACCGCGTGGGTCAGGGTGGCCCTACACTGTGTGGTCACCGAGCCAGCAGGTCCCAGGGTCCAGGGGCCGCTCCCTGGCTGGCCGGCCCTTGTGGCTCAGGGACAGAGCTCGCATGGGGCTCAGTTCCCCACTAAGGTCCTCCTGCCAGTCTTGGCTTCCGTGTTCGCTTCCCACCCGTTCGGGGGCACCGGTTACATAGCACAGGTCAGGGAAAGGCATGAACTCTGAACAGCAACAAGGAGAACTGGAGGATGCGACTTACAGGCGGCTCTTCCCGCTCACCCGATGAGAACGCCCCACTCTCTAGGCCAGCTGTCCATCTGGGCATGGTGGCGCTGGGGCCGGGTCAATCTTCCCTGTGTGCGCTGCCCTGTGCATAGCTGGGTGTCAGGCAGCAGCCCCGGCTCTGCCCACTGGACGCTGGTGGCGCTGCCCTCCCCCTTCCTGACAACCAAAGATGTCCCCGGGCGCGTCTCCATGTTCGCACTGGCGACACCAGAGTCAAGAAGGGTCGTGCTGGTCCCGCAGGCAGGTCAGAGCCAGCCACTGCGTCATGAACGAGGAGGACAGTAAATACCTCAAAGCTACCACCGGGGTGGGACCGCTGGTTCTGAGAAAGTAAAATAAAATAGCGCAAAGCTCTAGTTAAACGTCTGAGTCAAGCACATTTTACGCCACTCTTAATTTTAGTTGATCTCAGAACTTACCTCAGTCCTCACACAGCCAGAAATTCCACCGCAGAATAGTGTCTGCAAACTAACAGTGAACATTTATGGGCTATTTCATCTCCAAATGTCTGTTTTCCGACTGATTTTGAGGGGAGGGTGGCATTCTGGAAACTTATTCTTAGTTTCAACATCTGTGCGCATTTAACTTACAAATGGTGGACGTTGGTGTAGCAGAAACTTGTGAACACGAGGTAGTTTAAGCTTGGATTCAAGCTGCACTCTGTGCCCAGCGTGCACACTTACAGGGTTAGTCTGTAGAGCTGGTTTTCAGCAAATGTGAACACTTTAAACAGCCCTGCAGGGGTTGGCACGTTAAAAGTCGAGCACATTCCTCGATATCGCTTGTCGTAGAAATAACTTCCCGAGCACAGATCGAGTGGGGATGAGCCCTTGGCTGAGCAGAAACGGGGCCCAGGGTGACAGGCCCCGGGCACACCGAGCACTGGCGACGGACACAAGGGACCCCCAGGCCTGATGACTCCTGAAGGTCTTAAGTACCTTTCCCGGTTAATCTCAGGCTGTCCACTTCCCGGGGTCATGAGGTGGTGCCGCCGGCATGCAGACCACAGGGAACCGCCTCTCAGGAGCAGGCGCTCCCCCTGATGGATCCTCGGAGAGGTACAGCGGCTCACAGACTTCTTGGTTTCCTGCGCGCGTGGAAGTGTGTTTGCACCGTGCTGTGGCCTGAGTGCGCAGTAGCGTCATGTCTGGAGAGCAGCGTACAGACCCTCATTTAAAAACGCTTTGCTGCTAAAAAGAGAGCCAACCATCCTCTGAGCCTTCAGCAAGTTGTCATCTCTTTGTAACAGTAACACCAAGGGCCACTGACCACCGATGGCCAGAACAAACACAGGCCCAGCGGAGAAGCTTGAAACACGCGAGGACGGTTCAGAGGCAACACAGAGAAGCGAGGGGAGCAGACGCTGTTGGAAAGCAGCTCCGACAGACCTGCCGGACGCAGCTGCCCAGAGGCCTCACCTCGTGCACGTGCAGCGTCCACCGGAGCGCAGTGCAGCGACGTGCGGCCCACGGAGGTCTCCGAGCCCCTCCTGGGGCTGAGGAGGGGAGCAGAGTCGCGGCACTGGGACCCCCGGGTCCAGGTGAGCAGCGTGGCCGTGGCCCCCGCCCTCCCCCTCCGGCGGATGCACACGTTCAAATTCCGTCCCCGGCCCGGGAGGGCCCCACTCCCTCCTGCAGCTGAACAGCCCGCCCCGGGCACCACCCGGGGACTTTCGGAAGTCTGCCTTTCGCCACCAGCCTCAGCGCCACACCGAGCAGCAGGCAGCCTCGCTTCTCTGCACTGGAGGAAGCCGATGCTGAGTGGGTCGCTACCTGTCGGAGACAGAGCCCAGCCGGAGTGGCCGCTGCCAGTGCCAGGTCTCGTGTGGAGCCCAGTGCCCCGACGGCCCGTGGGGGGCCTGCAGTCGGCCCCCAACAGGATGGGGGGCCCAACCCGTCCCCCCGACGAGGTCTGATGTGTGTCTGCTTTTGTCTGCGTGGTGATGGGGGAGAGGTTTCCTGTCTCTGTGTCGTCTCTGAAGCTCTCCTGATTCACTTTCCTCCATGCGGCTGACCGTCTATGATGTCCTATCAAAAGCCCGCCACCAAAAGCTCTGTCCTCAGTAGTGAGGCCTCCTTGGCCACTGCGCAGGCAGACGGGGCCCAGCTGTGTCTGCCTTCTCACCTTCAGACGACAACAGAGAAATCTGTCTCATCAGCTCTCCCTCCAAGACCCCGTTTCCAGGCCTCTTTTTTCTTTTCCTGACTCTTCTCTGGGCAGCTGTTTTCTGCAGTTTCCACACCTGCTGGTGCGGTGACGGCTCAGCACGACCCTCCCACACAGGACGCCCAGGAGCATCTCTCGCCCTGTCACCCGCTACGCATGGCGACAGACCCAGAGCCGGGAGCCGGCGCACCAGGGCAGAAGTGGCCCAGGTCTCACAAACGGTGATGCCGCACGAATCTGCCCCACCTCCACCCGGGAGTCCCTCGCAGCCCCACAGAGCAGCACGGCCCTAGGGCTCCGGAATGTTCTGTGACAGCCGAAGACAGCTGCACGGAGCACGTGCGACACACCCAGAGCGTCCCTGAGCACACGGCACGTGCACCTCACGCCCACAACCACACGTGAGGGGGTGGGACAGCGCAGAAAGCCTGCGTCCCCCGCGGCCAAGCCCAGTTTCTCTGGGGGCACCTGCCCTCCTGACAACACCTGCCCCCAGGGAACAGCATCCCACTCTGCCAGCCTGCCCGCTGCGCCCTGGGACACACAGCAAGGGCCCCAGGGGCCCGGCTGCCGGGAGGCCAACCGTCCCCTGTCCTGGGAAGATGTGGAAACAGGCTTGAGAAGACACAGACTCCCACAAGGAGTGTGCCCCCCTGGGCTCCCATCCCAGGCACAAAACCCAGACATGCGACAGTCTCAGGGAGCGCTGGCCTAGCCCACCCGCGGGGCTCTTCCTCTGGACAGTCTCCCATCCACCTCTGGCTCAGCTGCGGACACCGGCCGCCCCCTTGCTGGTCAGGAGGCCGCAGGGCCCAGGCCCTCACTGCCGCCTACTCTGCCCCGCCCCAGGCTGCTCTTCCACCCGAGAGGCAAGGCTTCTGAAAGGGCCCCCACATCTCTACCCCTTCAAGCAGAGGTGCAGACGCACGTGGCCCTGCGTCGATGATCCAGGACATGTGGGCAGGGCGGTTGCTATTGCGGAAACTTAGCCGTTGAGAACAGAATTGCAAACCTCAGCCCAGAAGCCTAGAACCCTGGGAAAGCCAGTAAATGTTTGTCAACTGCCTAATACGTGTCAGAAGTGGTGACAGTGAGGGGCCCAGTCTTCAGGGAATAAACAGTCTAACGGAGCAAAGGCATGGACGAGTGAGACAGAGGTGGAAACCGACACGGCAGCGGCCAGGAAAACACGCGCATGGTGACCGAGCAGGTCTTGGTGCCAAGGACGCCGGAGACAGGCCATGATGTCTGGGCCGAGTGCTGAGGGCGCCCGAGAGTTTCCAGGAAATCGTGGGAAGGCAGGGTTTTCCAGGCCAAGGGACAGAATCAGGCTAGTGCGGCCACAGCAGTCAGTGTCCGCTTGGCAAACGGTGCAGAATTCAGCTTGGTCAGCACCTTGGGTTTAAGCGTACGGAAGTGGTTCTCTGTGGGACGATTTCAGGAGTCTTTAGGGGTTTAAATGTCATTCTGTAGAAACACAGAGAGTGACAGGGTGGCCGGTCAGCAGAGGACCTGCTGCTGAGATGTAAGAGGCATCGGAAAGCGCCCAGGGCTGGGCTGGGATGGGGAGCATCCAGGAGAAGATTCTAGAAGATGGAAGCCTCAGTGGGGACATGACACGCAGGGCCAGGGGGAGGAGAGGCAGGAGGGCACCGCACAGGCCGAGAGCCCAGCTTCTGCCTGGACGGAGGCAAGTGGGGAGGCTGCTGTGTGCTGGCAGGAGGCCATCCTCACGGTGGGGTAATTTCTGCTGAAACACATTAGCTGGGAGATTCTCACTGTCCGTGCAGGTTACCAAGGGGGTGCGTCTGGAGGAGAACTGGGGTGCAGTCCCAGGACAGGCACTGTTTGAACTCATTGGAGATTCAGCAGACAGGAAAGAGGACCTCACCTCTTAGAAACAAACGGCAGGTCCAAATGTGGAGAACCCAGCTTCCCGGAGCCCAGCGAAGACACGGGCCACATTGTGGGGACCGTCCCAGGCTCTGCAGAATGGATTCCATGTCACTCCAGCAGCAAGAGGAACCAGGGCTGAGGACCCTAAAGAAGGAGTCACAAGTTCAGACAGAAGGGGAGGGTCTGGGCTTCCCGGCACCCTGTCTGCCAGCACCACACAGACCCCTGGTGCCCCCTGTTTACGTAGAGCGCACGCCCTAGGCATTGTCACCTAGAGCAAGGACGAGGAAGTGGAGGCTGCGGGCTGCCCCGGGCTGGGGGAGCCCCGGGTGCCGCAGCCCAAGGGCCCTCACCCCGCGCGCCTCCAGTGGGACGGCCTTTTCCCTCTCGGGGCTGACTCGGCGGGATCGGCCGCGCTGGGTGACCACATCCATATTTTCAGCAGAAGAGACGTCAGGGCTGATGGACCCCGAGGTGCGTTATTCCCAGGCTCCAGTGCCCAGCTGGCGGTGGGAACCTTCAGGCATGAGATCAGCCAGAGGAGGTCACAGAAACCCACCCGCCCAACAGTGAAATGCTGCCGCGGGAACAAGGCCCCGCAGCCCTGGATCTGCGGGGACATCAATGGTGATGGGGACCCCAGGCCACCGCTGTGCGGGGACAGGAATCTCACTGAAAGCTGGTGCCGGGGCAGGGAGAGGACCCGGGCATGAGGGGCCTCGTCCGCGGCGCCCACCCCCACGCACGGCTTCTCGGGGGGCAGGGGGCCAGCACCCCAAGCCCCCACAGGGGATGACAGTGCCCCTCCGACCCACGTCCCTTGAGCGCTGGCTGCAGAGTCCTCACCCTAGGAGAGGATTCCAGAATCGCAGCCCAGCCCTGGGTCAGGGCTGTGGTTTCCTCGGAGTCGAGTTAGGTCCCGGAGGGCCCAGCCGAGGACTCGGGGAGGCGGGGGAGGCAGGCAGAGCACGGAGACCAACCTGCAGGATTCATAGAGAGCGGGCCCGGGGCGAGGCCGGATGGCTCCAGCAGGAAGTCCCAGGACGGCAGCCGTCACGCTGTGCGGAGACGCAGCCCCCACCCGATGCCACAGCGACCTGGGCACAGCTGTCCTCATGAGGGACCGCAGTGGGGCCAGCGGGCTGCGGAGACAGAGCAGGGAAGTGCAGCCCCCACTTTCTAAACTTTTACCATGAAGCGGGGGGAGAGTGAACGAGGCACGCCCTGTGTCTTCTGTCACCAATAAAAGGTGACCGGGAAGCAGCGGAGGGAGACAGGTCGCGTGCGAGGGGAGGTGGAACAGGTGAGGATGGACACAGGGGGGCCCGACACCCCAGCCCCAGGGCTCAGGCACCGGGGCGCCAGGCCCCTGCACCCACCTCTGCCCGCGAAGAGCGGCCTTCCACGAGGGGAGCCAGGCAGCCCCACAACCTTGGGGAAACGCTAAGGAAATGGTAGTGATGGGGCGACGGGGACCGTCCCCTCTTAGGACAGCCGGCCCTCCGCCCGAGGACCAGGACGCTCAGAGAGAAGCCAGACCTGTTGGGGAAACTAGTTCGGACACTCGGGACTGTGACGCAGAGCAGTGACGTCCCACCTGGACGCAGCCCTGCGCCACGCAGGCCTCCCCTCCACGTGTCTCCGGGCATCTGTAAGGGTCCCGCACCTGGTTCTTTAGTTCTGTGCAGAGAGACCCGTTCATTCTGTATATTCTGACATCGCACAGCCTACTAGCTTATTGCTAGCTGTTGCTGAACAGAAAAAATACTCATGTGTATGTGTATATATAAACACATTCCAGCTGGAGAATGTCCTTTAGATAACGTGACCCCTATTTCCAAATATTTCAAAATTAAATAAAATAATCATGTTCAAATTCCACGGGATCGCCTGCAGGGACACAGGAGGCTGTGCTTCACATAAATCAGGACAATGACCAGCATACGGTCCCTCCCAAGACAGAAGGGCTCTGGAATCTGGGGGCAGGCACGGCCCCCGAGAAAGAATGGGGGGCTCCTTACTGTCGCCCTTTCTGTGCAGGGAGCACCCCCTCCCTCAGCGAGGCAGCCCAGCCTCTCCGGCGACTCCCAAGGCTTCTGTTTCTACACGGGGCTGTTTCTCCACCAGCCCTGGGTGCCCTCCTCGCAGGGGACCGACAGGGTGTGAAGGCGGCGGGTGCGCAGAGGGGCTTCCCCCTCGGGATTTCATTTTCCTCCAGGAAGCACCAGCCTCTGGAGGGAGCTGAGTGGAAGTGGCACCGATGGCGATGCAGGGGGAGGCCTCCAGGGAGAACAGTGCGGGGTGTGCTCTGAAACCCTGTCTCTTCCTCAGCCTTTCAGGTTGCCCAAGAGCCAAGAAGAGTGGCATCAGGATAGCGCAGAGCAAGGAGGACAAGGAAGACCAGGAGCCCATCAGGTGCGCGGCCGGGGCGTGGAGTGGGAGTGGGCAGGGCTGCAGGCGGGGTGGGGGGGGCGGGGGTCAGGCTGGGAGAGCTCCGTCAGCTGCGAGGACACAGCGTCTGAGCTAAGACCAGGGTTCACCTGCCACCTGGCCAAAAGCGTCCCCTGAATAGCAGGTGAGGTGATGACCCGGTGTCCCCCCAGCCAGTGTTCCAGTAAGCAAGTGATGAGAAAGCTCCCTCTACCCCTTGGTGGAAGAAGCAGCTTAATTTACTGGGAGAGGCATATTCGGCAGCACAGCACTGAAAGTGGACATTTCCCTGACGTCCTAGCTCGTGAGAGTCACTCAGCAGCACGTGCTCTGCCTCCCACTGAGGCGGGACGGAGACCGTCCCCTGGGGAGAAACCAGCGTCCCACTCTCCCCCAGGTGTTGGCCCCGAGCCCCTGCCCAGAGAGCCTGGCTCTCAAGAAACTGTGAGATAAACCTGTTGCCAGCTTCCTGAAATTTTAATCTCACTCAGTGTCTCTGGAGAAAAATTCTGATTACAATGAAAATGGCAATTAAAATGCAAACACGATTGCAGTCCCGCGGTGAGTCGGCCCCCTGCCACACCCACGACGGGAAGTTTCAGAAGGTGCACGAGCTGACTCGCCTCCTGTCGACCTTCAGCTGCAGCCAGTGATGTTCCCGTTTATTTAAAAAAAGTGCTGGCGAGGTCTTAGCTAAATGTCGCCTCTGCTGCGTAAAGTCCTTTCCAGCTGGAAGGGTGTCCTCTGGTCTCAGAACACACAGCCCAACAAACAGCCCTTGAGAAGAACACAGGCTTATAAAATAATCTACTAAAAATAATCCTCCAGTTTCCCACTGACTTTGCATGTTTCCTCCACAAAGATTGTGACTCTGCCCAAAAGTGGTGTCTTTGAAACAGACGCCTGCGTCGCACTTGCTTCGACAGCGGGTTCCTTTCTCCACCGGCCGGCGTCCTCGGTGCTCACTGAGCGTGGACGTTCTGCTCCGGGACACCTGCGGGTCCGGGTCTGGGAGGGCGAACTACTTCACGGCTCCACTAGGTGGCGCACGTCAGCGGGTTTTGTCTTTCCCGTCTTTCCCTCCTGCCGGAGCAGACGGTGCCGGGTTTCCCACGACTTGGCCGCAGAGGCCGCCGGTACCGGCAGCAAGGCAGTCACGTGCGTCTCTCTGTCTGCCCAGGTGCCCCGTCCCCGGGTGTGACGGCCAGGGCCACATCACCGGCAAGTACGCCTCCCATCGCAGCGCGTCCGGGTGCCCGCTGGCGGCCAAGAGGCAGAAGGACGGGTACCTCAACGGCTCCCAGTTCTCCTGGAAGTCGGTCAAGACGGAGGGCATGTCCTGCCCCACGCCGGGATGCGACGGGTCCGGGCACGTCAGCGGCAGCTTCCTCACGCACCGGAGGTGAGTGCGCCTGCCCGGCTCCCAAGCGATCCCCGGGTCGAGGGAGAGAATGCCGGAACCCGCGGCGCCAAGCGCACGGCCTCCGTGAGGTCTGGGGAAAGAGGGGGGCGCACATCGATTTGGGAAGGCGCAGACTCGCCCTGGCCCGGCCGTGCGCGGGGCGGGTTTCCAGGGGCTCCGATCAGGGTCCGCGGGGAGAGAGGCTGCGCTTCGCACACGTGCACACGCACGCAAGAGCGTCTGTGGACTTAGTTGCTCGTTTCGGCTGAAGACTGCAGGCAGGCCCCCCTCGAGGAAGGTGGGTGCAGCTGGGCTCAGGGCCTCGTGAGGGACACCACAAAGCCTCCCGGGGAACCAGTCGTCATCGCTTAACTTAAAGAGGAACGTGGGGCGTCACACTGCCTACCCGACGGCCTGCCCTGTTGAGTCGAGTGGCCCCTGTAGGAGTGAGGACTGCGGGTGTGGGCGAAGCACAGAGGTGCCCTGCTTCCTGCGAGGGGGGGGGGACACAGCGTCACACACACGACGCAGCCCCTTGGGGCTCGTCGAGCTGGACCTCTCCGACCTCCGCCTTCCGCGTAAACACTGTGCACCCGCCGCAACCTGCAGAGCCCTGCTGAGCACGGGATGAGCCGGGAGGAGTGACGGGTGACCACGGGCCCCAGCATTTGTGGGAAGGTTTGTTTTAGTGTAAAAGAAGTTCTTGCCCAGGTAGCAAACTCAGACGGGACAAGCGGGCCTGGGCAGGGACGAACGTCTTTCCCGGAGTCTTTCCAAGCGGAGTCCCCGCTTCGCAGGAAGTTCCTTTGAACAGAGAGGCACCCAGCCCTGCTGAATGCGTCCGGGGGGAACAGAGGCCCCAACCCCTACCCCACGCCCGCTTTTCCCTTTGAATGCAGGCAGGTCTCAGTGTGTCGTAGGCACCTGCAGAGGACACGGTGTAGTGCCTTCGGCAGGATTCCCCTGGCCCAGCTGGCAGCAGGCAGGTGCGGGCTCGGCGAAACATCTCCTTCCACTCAGAGCCCCCCTGCTTCCCAGTCACGGGGTCCGGTCTCCGTTCCAGATGCAGCGCCGCCCAGGGCCGGACAGGGAGCTCCCTTCCGCAGACACCTGCTCGTCCCTGCGCAGCGGGCCCTCGGGATACAGACCTAGAGGCAAAAACCCTTGTCCCAAATTCTGATAGGCCGGCCCGAATGCCCCCCAGAAAGCTCCGGCTTCCCTAACTCTTCCGTGGTCCGCGAAGCTTTCAGACGACGGTGCACCCCGCCCACGCGGCCCCTGAGGAAGGGCGGGCACGTGCTGCTGAGCCGGGGCGCGTGGAAGTGGGTCCACTTCTCCGAGTAACGCGGAGCGCCCCTGGGTTCCCGAAACCGCGCAGGAGCCGGGCGTGCGCGGAACGCTGGAGGTGTGGCGT